GTTCACACGACTTTGCAGTCTGATGAATTAGCCCACAGCGCCACACCAGGATTGTTGTTGTTGCTAAGTGTCGTGGAGTCAGTTCCAACCCATAGCAACCCTGAACAGGGTTTCTGAGACTGTAAATCTTTACAGGAGCAGAAAGCCTCATCTTTCTCCCACAGAGCAGCTGGTAGTTTAGAACTGCTGACCTTGTGGTTTGCAGCCCAATTCGTAACCACTAGGCTAACAGAGCTCCTTAAATTATAGCTCCTTAAATCAGCAAGTATGAAAACAGCATATGGCTGGCCAGTGGGACTGGTCCATTGGAGAAATAATTTGCAAAACAAATGTCACCTCATTCAAGAGAAAGGAGTCCTGATTACACAACAGATAAGTACTCACTGCTACCTGAAAGGTCGTTGTTCAAATCCACCCAGTGGCTCTGTGAGAGAAAGGCTTGACAATGTGCTCCCACAAAGATTATAGTCTAGGCTTATGTACAAACAAAAATCTCATGGGATTTGATTTCTTGGCTTGCAAGTTTAGGGTCATAGTTTCATGGGACATCACAGTTAATTGGCCTACTAATATGTTTACTGCCTCTGTTCTACCTCCTACTTTGTTATGTAATGTCCTGGGGATCTTCCAAAGGGCCACCCAAGGCACAACAGGTGGTCTCTATTTGTTTAGAGCAACAGAGGAAGAAGGAAGAGTCAGGAATAGTAGGAGGATATGGGCTGTATGACTAATTGCCTCTACGAACAACTACCTCCTTTGCCAATAGACCAGAAGAACTAGATGGTGCCCAACTCCCGTTCCTGAACATTTTGATAGAAGTTTCTATAGAAGAATCTTGATCAAAAGGAGGAAATGCAGAAGAGAAACTCAAATTCTCATGGACTCCAGACTTACTGGAGCCATGAAGTTTGGATGAACTCTTGAAAATATTGCCCTGAGATAATCTTTAAACCTAAAACCAAAAATATCCCCTAAAGTCTTCTTAAAAACAAATAATAGTAAATAGTAAATAACTAGTAAATATGTCTGCCTTAAGAATTATGCTCTTTTAAGAACTAGGTATCTATATATCAAATGAACAACAGCAACTCGAAAGCTTAGATAGGAAGCTTAGAGGACTGTGAATCTGTGTTAACAGGGGACGAAAAGTTCTGAAAAGAAGGATGAGAATGGTTGCACAAGTCAAAGAATGTAATCAATGCCACTAAAGAGCACATGTAGAAATGGTTGAATTGGTGTCTGTTTCGCTGTGTATATTCTCAATACAATAAAAAGTATTTTAGCAGAGAAAATCCTATAGGATAGTTATAATCTGTCAGGTGGGTTGCTCTGAGTTTGATTGACTAGATGGCACATAACAACAACATATTCTACGGATATGGAAACAGGATAGGAAAGAGTGGGACCCAGAGTAGTTCACCTCCTACTGTCCCATTTCGTTTATCATCTATCTGTACTCCTGGAGTACATAAAAGTTAGCAGCCACCGACTGACACAAAACACAGGAGAGAATTTAAGGGGGAAATGCAGTAACAAATTTATTCTAGGTTTCTATTACCCACTAGAGTCCTCGTGTGGATAAGCACTGGACTGCTAACCACAAGTTCTGTGGTTCAAACCCACCAGACACTCCTCAGAAACCCTATACAGGGTGACTATAAGTAGGAACCAACTCAAAGACACTTAAAAACATTTCCATTAGTGGCTCTTTGTTTGATTTGAGTTGACCTTCATTTTTCTCTCCACATTTCCCTCATCCTTATGCCAGGACCATAAAAATGAAGCCATTCCTTCTGGATGAATGACCACAGAAGGTAAATCCCACTCTTCATGTCATCCCCTTTTGACAAGGTTTAACATATCTTGTCAAGTACCCAGCAGGGTGTGTGGCAGGGAGATAACTGCCCAGCCCTGCAAGGTCGGTCCATCACTCTGAGAAGGGAAACAGTGACAGTGACGACACTGCATTGTTCCTGAAACGCAGGCCCAGCTCACATGCCTTTTTGAACAGTTGGGTTTCAGAGCCCAGTTTAGAAAGCTCATTTTAAAAGATGAGGGAATACAAGTGCAAGGGAGGCCTTGAAATTCTGAAACCTGCAGACCAATCTGGGTTTGCTCTTTGAAGCCTGAAAAGGCAATGGGCTCTGGCCAACAGTGCTCTCATCTCGGCTACGGGGAGGGAATAACAACAATATAAGCAGCAGCAAATACTTTTATAGCACCTTCCATGTGCCAGGCACTGCTCTAAGTACTTAAAATCTATGAATTCATCTGATTCTTATGATACATGGGCATTATTATCCATAGTTTACAGATGAGGAAACTGAGGCACAGAAGAAACTTCCTCAAGGCCCATAGCTAGCAAATGGCAGAATCCTGGATTTGAAACTCAGGTATTCTGGCTTTCAATGCTATGCTATTTAAGGTTTTATGACTGCAGAGGTTTTCCCTGCCCTTCTTCTCAAGGCCAAGAAATGGAAATAGTCTTGTAGAAAGTGTTAACAACGTGCTCCCAAACTAAAGGTCAGGTTGTTGTTGTTATTAAGTGCTGTCAAGTCAGCTCCAACTCACAGCAACCCTGTAGAGTGTTTCTGAGGAACAGCTGGTGAGTTTGAACCACCGACCTTGGGGTTCAAATTGACCCTGCGGTCCAGTGTATTAACCCACAGTGCCATACCAAAGCAGGTACATTCCCCTAATGTCCAGCCACAAAGAAATGCATAGGTCCCAGCTAGTGTGTGTGTGTATGTTTTTTTTTACCTTTCTCCTCTCTTGCTTTGCTGAAAATCTATAGCTAATCTACCAGGCAGGTGTCATTATTAATTCCTCTGGGATAGTAAAAGGTAGCAAAAGGATCTATCAGCCCAATCCGTAACAGTCTACCCAACTTGCTCTAAAACACCTGTCAAGTTAGGCAGCGACCTGACTTCCTATGTTTTTACCAGTATCTCAGAGCACCAAGCCCTGAGTAAACAGAGCAGACACCCACACCTGTACTGTACATCCTCTCTAGCACCCACCAATGTTTATCTGCCCTTTTAACATTACTGCAGTAGTGGTGTAACTGTACTGAACTGCTAACCATGAGGCTGGCAGTTCAAACCCACCAGCGGCTCTCGGTCACTCTGTACAGGGTCGCTGGGAGTCAGAACCGACTCTATGGCAAACAATGACAACAACAATACAGTAGTTCGGTAGTAAACAACAACAAAAGGCTCTTAAAATAAGGTTGCTAGTAGAGCCATTTATTTTTGCTAAGAGATTTCCAGAGTTCTGGTGTGGTGCTGTGGGTTAATGTGCTGGACTGAAAAGTCAGTTTGAACGGCACTGTCAGCGGTTCAAGCTCACCGGCTGTTCCTCGGAAACCCTACACAGTGCAGCTATGGGTTGGAACCAACTCAACAGTACTTAACAACAATAGATCTCCAGGCAGGTTTTCGGAATTTCTACTAAAAGTAACTGAGGTGCTGGTGCTCTGGTGTTCCACTAATTCCCTGGGCTCCAAGGAAGCCCAAACAAAACCAACAGGTTTGTAGTCTTGTGATTTGTTTTACAACTCCTGATAGGCAGTTGTCTGGGCATTGTCTTGCTCTACCCCGCCAGATTCTACACATACTTGAACTACTTGGTCACCATCTTGCTACCAGATTTGACCAAGTTCCTGTGTTCATAAAATGTAATGCTAACATTTGCAGTGAGGACAAGGGAATTGAGACTTTCCACCTTAGAGACCCTCAAAATCCCATTCCTACCTAGCAAGGCTAACTGTAAGCAACTCTCTTATCAGGAGGGGGATGTGCAACCAAGCTTCGGAATCAAAACATCTCGAGAGATTCTGGCTCAGACAATGCCATTAGTCGTTAGATGGCAGGGACCACGACTTTTGTACATGTGGGACTGACTGTGAGGCTTTGCAAGGGTGCAGTGATCTTTTCACATCTGGTGTGAATCAAATGCAAGCCTCACTTTCAACTTACTGCCAACCTCCTCATGCAAGTAGGTTTCTTTTCCCCTTCCAAACTGCCTGCATTTGTGGGACTGGTCACAGCTTTGAGTGTGAACACAAGGTTAAGCTTGCTCCTCCCCCTCGTTTCCCCACACCCACCACATCAAGCTGCTATTAGACGTTTAAGGGCTGTTCAGAAAGTGGGGTATTTGTCATAGTGTACTGATTGTCGTCCTCACCCCACTGCCACGTTGGCTGGCAATGCCCAACACAACCTTAGTCGGGGGAAGAGGAAAAGGCAGGGAGTGAGGACAAACTAGGTGATGGTGGGGGGAAGTAAGCCGCCCAGGTCCTAAACACTCTCTCACACACGGGATGGTTGGAATAAGACAGCATATTAAGCAGGTCAACGATCTGGGCACATACAACTTCTGGGCCACACAGAGAGGAATGTGGGGAATCCGCAGCGGAGCGTTTTTAGGCAGTCAAAGCCGTTAAACTTATTCCAACGGCTTGGAGAAAATCAGCTCCAGGAGGTGGCAGAAGGGGAAGCGCACGTGAAGCCTTGGGGAAAGAAACTCCACGACTGTCGAGAGGGATGCTGGGGCCAAACTCAAGTTGGAGATGTAACACATGGCTCCACAAGGCGTTCCTCCATGCCCCTCCCCCGCCCCGTGCAGGAGTCCAGCGCCCACCCGCACCTGGCTTCCAAGGCCAGCCTTCACCGCAGAAGGCCCCCCATCACTCGCCAATCCCCCCTCACATCTTGCTCCCACCCCTCGCATCTTCTCGCCCCCACACAACACATCTGCCCACTTTTCGGTTACGCCCCCCAAATCAGATACGCATCAACTAGGTTCCTCGCCTCACCTCTCGGCCTTGACTGAGTCCGGGCGGTGCACCCCACGTTCACTGCTCCTCTCGCTTCCTCCACCCTCGCAGACTTTGCGCCCCCTTCGCAACACTTATACTTACTACCCCCGCACTCATTCTCTCGACTTTGCGCTCCCCCCCAACAGCTCCTCCCCCGGCACCCGCTCCAGGCCCGGCTCACCTGCGCGGCCACCCCCGTCCCGGCGCTGGTGCGGCTGTTGCAGCTGGAAGGGGACCGTGGCCCTGAGTGGCTGCAGCCCAGCCCGGGGGGAGCCGGCGGGAGCTGGGGGAGAACAGCCCCGCCGGAGCCCCCCGGCCCCTCCTCGCCCTGGCCCCCAGGCACCTCCGCCTCTGCCGCCCGCTGGGGCCCCCGCCATCGCCCGCCCGACAGCCCGCCCGCCTCGGCCCCACAGCGAACCACACACAGCCCCCCGGCCCCTGTGGCCGCTGCTTATCTGCCTTACGGGGCGGAGACCGGCCATCTCAGTCTAGAGCACTCATTGGCTTAAGGAGACTCCAGAACTCCCTCCCAGCCAATCAGCGGCTAACCTTTTCTTTTTACAAGGATAATTGGCCGATGGGCGTAGCGATCGACCCCTCTCACCCCCCCCAAGACTCCACCCCATCCCAACCCCTGCCTTCTTCCCGACTTCCAAGGGGCCACTGATTCGTCTGTCCGGAAGAGGGCAGGTTCTCCAGAACCGCCAATGACAAGACACAGAAAAGGGGAGCGTCACACCCAGCCCCAGGTAGTATGCAAATATTCACGTGACATTAGACTGCGTGGGGGGCGGGGCGGGGTGTTGGTTGGAATTAGGAACTGGTGAAATCATTATGGGGGCTGGGGATGTGTGTCAAACTTTCAGTACTTGCGTGCTGACAGCACAGAGCAAGCATTAACTTCAGAAAGCATTGTATTGTTTTAATCTGAAAAGATTAGTTTTGAATCCTCATAGGATCTCAGTGCGGCTTGCAACAAACTAAGATTCTACAAATTAATACAAGTTTGCATATATTTGCATGCGGTTTGCATAACATTCGTGCACCAAATGGCTCCCGTGCTCTTGTAACACCTACGTTTGTCCTTCTCCACGTTTCTAAGTCCCTACTTGGTATTGGGCCAACCAGAAAAAGACAGCTGCTAGCCTGCAAATTAAATTGGGACTCTGAAATGGAGCAGGGAATTTCCCTTCAGAGTCTTGCATTCCAAGTTTCTAGTTCAACAAAATGGAAGGAGCAAAGTGACTGAAGAACCTGCCCAAGTTTGTACAGTGACTCCATTAGTAAATCCAGGTCTTCCCAATTCAGTGCTCTCTGTCCTGTAAGCCAAATAGACACAGATTTTCACAACACATATAGTTGTGAAAATCGCATGCTTTAATATATATATGAAGGCATCTGAGTAACGAAAACTGCATTTAAGGTGTTATTAGAAATTATTATGCTTGGTATTTATCAAGAGTTTTGTTCTATATATGGAAAGAGCAAAAGCAATCATTCTTGGATTGCCTGCATTAAGGGGCCACTCAAATAACTGGATAATTTCCTCCAGATTTATATTTAGCTATGGATTCTATTTTTGATCTTGCTACAGATTTATCTTCTATTTCTGTTTTTGCCTAGTCTAACGTTAATATGAAGGTATACCCTGAAGACATACTAACTAATCAGAGAAGGAGGTATCTGGGAGCATGTTGTAAGGAAAAGAGCAGTCATGCTGGGATTAAATATTGAAACCAGATCATTCACAAAGTGGAAATTCAAGAGTTGACTGGATATTACAAACAGCCTACATATACAGAACAAAGTGAGGCAGTGGAACCTCCTAGAGAAACCTCCTATTCCTTGTAAACAGTGCACATTGCACATTTGAAGGACTGAATTCAAGATCTTACCATTGAAATCTCTTTAAATTGTCTGATAAAATGCTAGACTCCTTTCCCATGAAGGGGACAATACCAAAGGCAGATAGGGATAAAACTGATGAACTGATAAAATCTTAAAGTCTCTATAAACTCAGTTTTCTCTCTCATACACACATACACACATATGGGTAGGTCCAAAATTATTGCTATAAAATCACAGAAACCTTTATAAAACAAAAATACCAAAATGGGAAGCTATTGTTTCTCAACATATCCTCCATCTAAGTCTATACACTTCTGAAGGTAGTGTTTCCATCTCTCTAACCTTTCCCAGAAGAATTCTGCAATCTTAGATTTATAGCATGTCAGCACAGCATCTTTGACATCCTCAAATCATATTCTTTTTCAATAGTGAGTTTGGAGAATAAAAAAATGTCTGAAGGGGCAAGATCAGAGCTGGGGGGCGGGGGGCAGGCGTAAAGTAAGCTTTCCCAGTGAAATTATCCTGGGACAGCCCTTGTTACCATTAAAGAATGAGCAGGTGCATTGTTGTGATGGGAAAAAAAAATTCCTTGTCACAATTTTTTCTGGCCTTTTTCTCACCAAAGCAGTTTTCTGTTTTCTTAAAGCATTTTTCTAATAAACCCAGTGATTGTCCTGTATTCTTTTGAGAAAAATTATCAAGAATTCTCCTTTGGAGTCCCAATAACTGTCTCTGTAACCTTCTGAGTTTTCTGTCTTGCATTTAACTGATCCAGCAGATCCCCTCAGAAGCTATTGTTTTGACTGGATCTTTTTTTAAAAAAACATCCTGATGGAGTTCTGGTGTGGCGCTGTGGGTTAATGTGCCAGATTGCAAAATCTTTTGAACTGCAAGGTCGGTGGTTCAAGCTCACCAGCTGCTCCTCGGAAACCCTATATAGGGTCGCTATGGGTCTGAACCGACTTGAAGGCACTTCACAACAGTGAAACTAGGAGTCCTGGTGTGGCACTGTGGGTTAATGTGCCAGACTGCAAAGCTGTTTGAATTACAAGTTCAGCGTCTCAAGCTCACCAACTATTCCTTGAAAACCCTATACAGGGTCGCTATGGGTCTAAACAGACTCGATGGCACTTCATAACAACAATGAAACTAAGGAGTCCTTATGTGGCGCTGAAGGTTAATGTGCTAGAATGTAGAGTTGGTTTGAACTGCAGGGTCAGCAGTTCAAGCGCACCAGCCGCTACTATAAAGAGTTGTTATGCGTCAGAACTAACTCAACAGAACTTAACAACAATGAGACTAAGACAAGTGTGTAACTGAGAGAACTTGTCTTCAGTCATCCAATGATCGTAGAAATATGTTTAAATGCATTTTGCTTGGAATAAACCTGGGCATGTATGAATTAGAACTCTATTAACAATACTTTTTTATTTACCTTCGTTTACAATCACTTACACTTACTACAGGACAATCATAGGGGATTATTATGAAGAAATTTTAAGAAAATGGAGACTAGCAATAAGGAGAAAAAGGCCAGGAAAGTTGCCCTGAGGAATTTTTTTCCATCAGGATATGCATAGGCTCATTCTTCAAGAGTAGCAAGGGCTGTCCTAGGGGAATTTCACTGAAAAACCTACAACAACAATATATCCCACAGCCCTGATTTTGCTACTTCAGACTTCTTTTGTTCCCCAAACTCGAAGACCATTTAAAAGGAACATGCTGTGAGTGGCTTGTGTTAAGATGGTATAAATCTAAGAATGCAGAATTCCTTGGGGAAGGTTTAAAGAGATGGAAACACTACCTTCATGAGTTTACAAATCTATATGGAGGATATGTTGAGAAGCAATAAGTTTACATTTTTATTTTTTAATAAAGATTTCTATGGTTTTTTAGCAGTGCTTTTTTTATTTGTCCTCCTGTGTATGTGTGTGTGTTTGTGTGCATCTCTCTCTACATACGGGAATTTCAATAAGTTCATGAAGAAATTCCATTATCTTTTCATTTCATTTTTCCACCAACTTTCTCATATATATATTGCATTTATATTGTTCTTCCATTTCAACTAACTCAATGCCTTCATATACTTTTCTTTAAAAATCCTCATGACAATCTAGAAGAGGAAAAGCATGGATTTTCACCATAGTGCAGGCTGGGAAACTGAGGCCCAAAGAAGTGAATACTTTTGATTCCTAGCTCAGATCTCTGTCCAATTTTTGAATCACCATACCTCACATTTTCATTAATAAAATCTGTAATGGTGGCAGCACCGCCATTTACTGAGCACATTCTTCACGTCAGAACAAGTTAAGCACTAGTGTATATTATCTCATTTAATGCACATGATCACACTTGAGGTGGGGATTATCTCCTCTTCATTGAGGCTTCAGAGAGAAGTGCCCAAGGTTGCCCAAACAACTTGTCTCCAGAGCCCAAACTCCTAATCTCTATGCTTGCAATACTTTATTATGAACACAGAAGGATTACTACTTATAATTCACTTAAGAGTCCTCAAAGATGCATATCTGGCTGAGATGTTAAAATTATCACTTGATTAGTGCTTTACTTTGGCACTTTCACATATATCATCACATTTAATTCTCACAATATGAATGTACGGCAGACATTATTGTCCCATTTTACAGATGGTGAAGTCACAGAGGCTAGATGACTTTCTCAAGATGATCCAATGATTAAACAGAAACCCAGGACTTACATCCTAGGTATTTTGACTTAGGATTCAAGTGCTTTCCCAACCAACACTCAACTTTTGGCTGAGGGCAAAAAGATGTGCCAGCTGGTCCCTAAAGTCTACACTAGGCTGACAACATACACTATTTTCTAAAATGTAAATTCTCAGGCAGCCTTTGGAGATGATGAATGGCTTTTATTGCTTGAGCCATACAGTATTGTTAAGAGGTAAAAGCCCCGAGATGAGGGATCTTCAAGCACTTTGGCTTCAACAATCCGTGCTAGACTCACCCCTGCCCTAACAACCTCACAGGATAGTTCTAAAGATAAAATGAAATCGCTGGTACAGATGCACTCATTTCTTGGAGAAAAGGGTAATGTGGGTGCTCCCAGTGACATGGAGTTTAAACCTTCTGCTCCAAAGTCAAGGTATCCGGAATTGAGGCCCTGGGGAGTGGAAGAAGAGCCAAGCGAGGTGGCACCACTAAGTAACGGGATCTTCTGAATCCAGAGAGTCATGGTCTTTCCTGATAAATAAGTTGTTGGCAAAAGGCACTAAAGTTGGCCCTAGCTGTGGGAGGAAGAAAGTAGGCATACAGGGGAGAACCCGGTCCTCTCCTTACCAGGTATCACACCCAACCAGCTGTCTCTTATTCCCTTCTCTATCACTGATAGCTTCTCTACCATAGGCATGATGGGAGGATAAGGACCTCATGTGAAGATCAACCCCTGTCTGTTTCCGCCAATGAAAGAAGCCATGGCTTTGAAGGAGGTTGTGTGCTGCTAAGGGAGATGCCTTGTACTGCAAAGCATCCTTATGTTGCAAGGAAATCTTTGT